ATGCTTTTACTCTTTTTTTTTTTGTTTAAAGAAACCTGTAAAAAATTGCAAACGTTCTCACATTAATTGTCTTTTATTTGTTTGTTTTTGCATTAGTGCATCCCTTGCATGTGAGTGACAGTATCAGAAGCTAATGGGGGCTGTTGTCTTCAGAATTATGAGTACATGCTCAAACGGTCTTATTTGGCCCTTTAGAACTGCTGCCTCGTTTACAGTGAAAGATGGTTCAGATCCTCACAGTACCACAGCCCCATTTTTCTGATAGAGACAAGATGAAGAATCAGCAGTTTGAAAAGGGCTAAATAAATTAAATAAAAAAACTCTCTGCATGTGTCAGGAGTTCGTGTAGTATTTACAACTTTCTCCATGGATCAGTATTTGCTGAAAACGAGTTTGCTGCCTCGGCCTCAAACCTTTAAACACGCAGGACTCGTGAAGCACCGCTGCAGCTCCGAGAACAAACTAAAAAAAACTGCACAGATGTGCTGCTGGAGGTACTGAGGCTCTGATTCACCAAAACACACAGGGAACTGTTGCTCCAGTGTTCAGCACCCGCTATCTGTTCGATCTTCTCGGGGTCGGTTTCACAAAATGCTTTGTATTATTCAAGAGGATTATCAATATGATAATCCAGGAGAGATTTGGAGTAGAACCGCTACATTTCTAAATCATCCATCCATCCATCTGTCCGTCCATCATCTTCCACTTGTTCTGAAGTTGGGTCTCGGGGGCAGCAGCTTGAGCAGGGAGGTCCAGACATCTTATTCCTCATCCACCTCTTCCAGCTCTTCTGGGAGAACTCCAAGGCGTTCCCAGGCCAACCAAGAAATATAGTCTCTTCAGCGTGTCCTAGGTCTTCCTTTGGGGTCTCCTCCCAGTCAGACATGCCCGAAGCACCTCCTCAGGGAGGTGCCCAGGGAACATCCTTACCAGATGTCTGAACCACCTCAACTGGCTCCTCTCGATGTGGAGGAGCAGCAGTTCTACCCTGAGTCTCTCCTGGACAACTAAACTTCTCACCCTATCTCTAAGGGAGAGTCCAACTACCCTGTGGAGGAAACTCATTTCAACCACCTGTATCCACGATCTCATTCTTTTGGTCACTATCCAGAGTTCGTGGCCATAGGTGAGGGGAGGAACGTAGACTGACCGGTAAACAGAGAGCTTCACCTTACATCTCTGCTACCTCTTCACCACAGTGGACCAGCACAGAGTCCACAATACTGCAGACGCTGCACCAATCTCTGTCAATCTCACGCTCCATTCTTCCCTCACTCGTGAACAAAACCCTGAGATACTTGGAACTCCTCCACTTGAGGCAGAACCTCACCCTCGACCCAAAGAGAACAATCCACCCTTTTCCGACTGAGGACCACGGCCTCAGACTTGGAGGTGCTGATTCATATCCCAGCAGCTTCGCATTTGGCTAAAAACCGCTCCAGGGAGAGCTGAAGATCACGACACGATGACGCCAACAGGACCACATCATCTGCAAAGAGCAGAGATTGAATCATGAGGCTACTGAACAGGACTCCCTCCTCCCCCTGGCTGCACCGAGAAATTCTGTCCATAAAAGTTATGAACAGAATCTGTGACAAGTGGCAGCCCTGGTGGAGTTCAACTCTCACCCTGAAGGGGTCCAACTTACTACCGGCAATACGAGCCAAACTCTTGCACCCTTTGTATAGGGAGCGTTTCTAAATCAGTAAGTATTTTTGATGTTTTAACCATCATTGCATTTCTTCAAATACTAAGCAATGCCTGCTTGGTTTTTATCCTAGCGCAGACCAGCTGCTGACTGCGGCAGAGGGGTGTGGTTTATCTGTCGTGTTGTGGGATGAATACTGGTCTATGACAGTTACAACTGTTAACCTCTGCATTTGAAGAACAATTTGTTGAAACGATTTATTTTCAGAAGGTTTTGCATTCTAAATATTCCAACACTTTACTTGTTGATGCAACAATGTCTGACACTCGTCACTGGGAGAGATGATAAATTGCTTTTCTTTCTGACATGCCTACCCTCTTTTTGTGAGGACTCGAGCAGCAGATTGGTTCTCTTGTTTTTAGTTAATTTTCTGTGATGCAAGAATCCACACCCCTCAGGAGACGGTAAACATTAAACTCTTAACTGCATGATGCAAACAGCACGTACCTGTAAAAATTTATCTATTTTTCTAGAAGATAATTACATAAATTTGGGTGTGTTTTTTTTTTTTATCAATACATTATAGCTAATTTAATTGTAGGTAAACTTTGTCAACACAGAGAGGCTCTGTTTGAGCGGCAGCAAAGTTTTAGGTTCACATCCCATGTAGAAACTTTGATTTGCAACCACAAAAGGTTCACAAGCCGTTGCAGAATCTGGTCCTGTGGGCCTACCCGCAGTAGCGAGCGTTTGCTAACTGCTTTAAACAAGAGTGTGAAAAAAAAAATTATACATTTTTTGTAGCGATAAATATTTCAACTCGGTACTTACGAGGTACGCAAAGATAATGGGCTGTAATATTACATGGCATTTTACTCTACTTACAAGGTATTTACAGGCTGGTTCACACTGTGTAGCTACATTAAAGTAAAACAGTTAGTACTAGTATATGCATTGATGTTGGTGCAGTATTTTTGCAGCATCACACTGAATCTGAAACCAGACTGAAGTTCCCTGACTTTGTGTGGTGTACATGTGATTGGAGTCACTGCAGATAGCTGTGCCTGGTGATTTGACCGTCTGCCAAGACGGTTGACAATAAAAAGCATCGTCCACGCAACAATCTCAGCCAGCCAGGCTTCTGGGGAATATGTCTAAACAAAAACCTCAGAAATGTTACGGAGTGAGCAGATGAGACCTCTGATTATGAGTACACGAACACAGAAAATGCACATGTGGAAATGCTCGGGCACAGTTTTTGGCAGAGACAGCAAAATTATTTGCATAATCTTCCTCTGATTTCTTGCTCATCTTGTTGTCCTTTCCCTCAGTATGATAAATTACTCCCAACATCTTCCAGCAGGACCCATATTATAGCTTTAATTGCCCCATTACAAAGCTGTTCTGCATGAAGTGTTTTTGCACAATTTGCAGTAGCTCTATATTTTAAGTCCACTGTATTAACAGATATGATATATATATACTGT